ATATGCTTTTATTTATTTGTAATTTAATAATTATAATTATGCCATATATTTTGTAATAATATTTTCATGTAATGTTCTATATAGGACATTATTATAATTGCAAAGTTACTCTGAGCATAATATAATGTTATGACTTTGTTCGTAATCAAGGTGAGTTCGATCTTTCTCTCTGTCTTTTAAAACCACGACTTGAGAAGTACTACTAGTCACCTGGCAAATATACTATATAAAGAACCACAAACATGTGAATACAAATTTTCAATTTTCCCGGAGGTCGAGAGATATCGGTGGTGGGCTTCTACCTATTCATACTGTAGGTACAACCTTGGGGCATTCGATTTTGGTGTCCCAGGCTTCTCCACTCTGTCGAAGACCACTGACATGTGGCGGTAAAAGAAAGAAGAGGCAATGGGAGCTGGAGGGAGAGCACATGAAATGAGTTTCTATATCATGGTTTATTTTCTGAATTTTTGTAGTCTCCATATTGACCCACGTTGGAATTTTAATTAATGTCCGTATTATTATTATTATTATTATTATTATTATTATTATTATTTGCCTTGAAAATTGGTTGGAAAACAAGAGTAAAATTGGTTGCACTAAACAAAAACTGCACTGTCAACTTATTAAAATATGTTAAATAAATTGTATTTTCTATTATTTTCTTTTTGATTAGTGCAAGCCATGATATTCTCAAAGCAGTAAAAGAGCAATTGAAAAAATGCATATCGTAGAAAAAGAAGCCAAAATTCTTTGTTGCAGTAACCGAGGAGAAAAATATAACACCAAAAAGAGATCACAAACTTTATTACAGTTCTAAAAAATTTTAAATTTATGCAGTGCTCTGCCACAAAATCAATATAATCTGTATTTTGACTAAAAAAGATCCCTACAATGTGATCCTTCAATATGTACATAAAAAAACATATATACATCAGTGCACCTGAGCATGTTTAAGTTGGTAATTCACCCCTAAAAGTTCACGAGTTATGATTATATTTTTCATGTTGGTATGATCAATGCGCGGGCTTGTAAAGTAAATTCAGAACAGAATATCCTTCCTAGTAATAAATATGATAACAAATCAAGTTTTACATGTTACTTATCCACAATGATAGCAAAAACACGTTTACGAAACAAATCTACTCAACAACATAGTAACAACTAAAATATAGCAATAAATGTTCCATTTTTGTTTGGTTAGACAAGATTTCCTCAATGAGACTTGAACTGATACGCAAAAAAAAAAAAAAAGTTCAGTTCATCTCATTTCACTTTTTTTTCCCTCAACAATCAAACTAATACAATTAAAAATAATAAGTAACGATTATTTCATACTGTTCAACAAAAAAACTATTCACTCGCTCACATATTTCTAATTACCAATCATCAGTAACAACTAAATGCAAAAGTACAGATGACTAATGCTTCAAGAAAGGCATATGTCAAAAAGTTAATCCAACTCCGTCGCATAACCCGTAACAATTGAATGTCAAGAAGCACGAAATGCCAACAAATTAACTGAAGCAACACGTTATCAACATACCTAAAAATCCAATGTTCGCATCCACGCTAGCGAGTTTGAAGGTCAAAATAGAGCCATGTAGCTTTTACTTAAAAATGAGAATAACACTAAACTAACATAGATTTATACACTTGCAAATCATTTGTATAGACAATAACATGTATGCCAAAGACATGCCAAGAGCTTAAATAAGAAAACTCGAGAGCTCATCCGGACATGACACGTGGCGTGCGTTATGTAAGCTCCATACTTTTTTTTTTCAATTAAGGCGTAAGTTCGTAAACAAACTGTCATGGCAAACATATGCATGACATGTTTCATTCCCTTTATTGGTCAGATTTAGGAAATATGAACCAACAAGAACAACTTGAACAGAGATCCATATATTTTATCTATATAAATACAGTTAAAACGGACAAAGCGAGAGAGGCGTAAAAAGTAAATTTACATTTAAAACACATTTCAAATGATGCCTACGGCGGTTAATGATACTCTGGTGAATGAGGTGTTTCTGAGTGTGGCTTGCGGCTTGAGTGGGCGTTGGAATCTTGACATAGTTTCTAGAGATACCTCTCTAATCACCTTTTTCAGCCTATTGCAGTTCGACAACCTTTTGCAGTCCAACAAAGTATGCTTATGATCAATGGCCATTTTCACAATTCACACCAATAACATCATTCTTTCAATTTATCTCTCACCTTACAAACATTCCTCACTTTGTAACTTCTCAATTGCAGAATCACTCACACAGGTTGTCTAATCGAAGCAAAAATCGCATTCAAAATACAAAAAATGATCCCGCCCAAAAAGCCAAAAAGTTCGGCCATATTTACCGAAATGTATCTACCAAAAAATGAATTCGAATAAATATGAGATATTCACGATGCACATTAAAAATTTTTAATTTGGATATGAGATGAAAAATGGATGAGTACAAAAAAATAGTTACCCAGAATCTACATAATATGAGATTCTTTCTAAACATTAAAAGATTTGGTAGTTAGAATATATGGACAAAAAAATCATCAATTAAGTTGAACAATCTGAAACATAAAAATTAATTTTTCAAAATTAACATTCTTTATTAAATAAATACAAATTTTTAGCTGTGACAATAAAATATGAGATTGTAGATAAATAAATATGGATAAAATAAATTAAGTTGGCATAACTTTTCGGAAAGATTTCAAAAACGTTTAAATCGTTTTATTCATCAAATGGTTGATTGAATTTTTGTAACCAAATTCACAAATTTGACCGAAAAATTTAAGAAAATGATTGATCGGATTTTTTTTTCAAGGCGATAGACTTGCATTAATAAACACACAATTACATACTAGAAATCATCTAAATAGCCGAGTACTATAAAAATTAAATTCAAAACGATTGAGTAAATATATGTTAGGATAGAAAATGATTCACATGTGTTACACACAAAATGAAATTTTATTGGAATCAATTGAAAATTTACATCATGCTAAAAATATAAAGAAAAATATGAGTTTGAAAATTAAAAAAAAAAATTCATATCATCAAAGACAGAAAAATAAAAACAAAACTAAAATATTAATGAGCTTGCTTAAAGGATCATTTACTCATTCTTCATTGGAGGATAAGTCCAACTAAAGCCCACTACAAACAAGTGTATGAAGCAAGCCCAATGTTACAACAAAAGAGCCCTTTCTTGAAGCTCCAAACCGTATATATAATACGGGCGCTCGATATCTAGGGTTTTGGCTGAGCGCATTTGTGTGTGGAACGAAGTACAAAGAGCTTGTTTTCTCAGTCCTCTACGAGCTCAGCCATGGCCGTCGGGTACTACTTCTCTCTTGTTCTTCCAGATTTACTGATACTTTGCCTCTATGCTGATGCTAATTATCTCGTATACATTGTTTAATTTTTCCATTGAAGCTCTATTGCGTTTTTGATATTTATTCTTTTTATTTCTCGATATGCTGCAGAAAAAACAAGAGGATTTCGAAGGGGAAGAAGGGAGGCAAGAAGAAAGCGTGAGTGTTTCATAGTTTGATCAAATATAAGTTATCTGTTCCCATTCAAATGTGTTGGTTAAATTTTGTTTGGTAATTTTGAATCTGTGTGATGTTTATCATAGAGCTGATCCCTTTGCTAAGAAGGACTGGTATGATATCAAGGCGCCGTCTATTTTCAACACCAGAAACGTGGGCAAAACTCTAGTTACTCGTACTCAGGGAACTAAGGTACTTTGCTGAAAATGTTGTCAATTTTGCATATGTTTTGTGGTATTTGATCAGTTATATAGTTACTTATTCACTTGATATAATTTTTTGTTTTGAATTATCTGGATTTGTAATGCTTGGTTTGGATCTTCAGTGTGGGAAATGATCGATTTAAAATGAAAATATGTTATCTAGTGGGAGTTGTGCAGGTTCTCTCTCCCTATCCCTCTTCCTAATGCCTGATTCCTAAGGTGTAATGTGAACTTTCTATCTGTTATAATACATCCCTGGAAATCGGATAACCTGTCTTGCAAAGTTGCGTTTTATGTGTTACTCAGCAGATTATTACTCCATCCGTAACATAGTATTCTTTGATAGAGAACTTGTGGAATTGTTAACTGAACAACAGTCAACAGAATCCTGAGATGCTTGTGTAGTTTTGTACATTTAGTGGGTCATATATGTTAAAGCTGTAACATAATGATTATTGATTAGGCTCATGCTAATAGACATGGTTTTGTCAACAGTGTATATTGGTCAATGTTTTTGTAGTCACGCGTTTATCATACTTAAAAAAATGTTTTTTATTAGATTGCTTCAGAAGGGCTCAAGCACCGTGTGTTTGAGGTGTCCTTGGCTGACTTGCAAAATGATGAGGATCACTCCTTCAGGAAGATTCGTTTGAGAGCTGAAGATGTTCAGGGCAAGAATGTTCTCACAAACTTCTGGGTAAGTGGAACGCAAAAGCATCTAATTTTCCCTGTACTTTCTTGTTCTGTACTTTCTTGTTTCTCTATTTATTATGTTTCGGCCTGTTTGCTTAATTGGGTTGTTTTGTTTAATCGCAGGGCATGGATTTCACCACTGACAAACTTAGATCACTCGTGAGGAAATGGCAGTCACTAATTGAGGCACATGTCGATGTCAAGACAACCGACAACTACACTCTGAGGTTGTTCTGCATTGCCTTCACTAAGAAGCGTGTGAATCAGCAGAAGAGGACATGCTATGCACAGTCTAGCCAGATTCGTCAGGTATATATTTGTATTTTTTTTGAAGGGGTGGGGGAAGAGTAACATTGATTATTTTGGTTTTTCTTTTAATTATTTTTCCCAATTTGCTGTTTTGTTTTTGGTTAGATCCGGAGGAAGATGAGGGAGATCATGGTGAACCAAGCACAGTCTTGCGTTCTAAGTGAGTTGGTTCAGAAGTTCATTCCGGAGTCGATTGGCAAAGAGATTGAGAAGGCAACTCAAAGCATCTACCCTCTGCAGAATGTGTATATCAGGAAAGTCAAGATCTTGAAAGCTCCCAAATTCGACCTTGGCAGGCTTATGGATGTAAGTTTCAGCTTTTATTAAATGTGTAGAAGTACCTAACAATTATCTGTGATAATTCAAGCGATTGCTTGTTTGGTTTTAATAATTATGATTTTATTCTCCTAGGAGCAATTTGGGTGTCACCTACTTTACCTCTTATCCTATCTCCCATCTTATGCTTTATTTAAATTCTGTTAACAGAGTACGCAACTGAAATTTATTCAAAATTGTGTTTTTCTTGGAAAAATTAAAGGATTTGTAAGCTCCTCATCTTAAGATGTTATGTAGGGTCGTTGGGAAATATCTTCCGAACACTTTTTATTGTCTTTAGGCACTCTGTGTAACCTTGATTCTTTGAGTGTCTAGAATTCTAATATTTGCCAAGTTATTGTCCCTGATAATCTTGGAAATTGCAAAGCTGCTCGATTTTAATTTTTGTTGTGGCTGCAATTTGTAGGTTCATGGTGATTCTAAAGAAGAGATTGGTGTGAAGTTGGAAAGGCCGGCCGAGGAGCCACTGGCTGAGGCTACTGAAGTTGTTGGTGCCTAGAATTGGTCACATTCAAGTTCAGAGATGTCCTTTCCAGTTATATGTACCCAGTTTTGTGGAAATTCAGGAACTGATTTTTCTTTAGATAGATATTTGGTAATGAGTTTTTTGTTTAATTTATTTGGTTAAATTGCACCCTGAATTTTGTGACCATTATGAGCAACTTCAAGACATTATTTATGTATTGAGTTATATTTTAATTTATTTTTTCTAGAAAATTATCCTATGAACTAAATAAATCATAAAATATTGCATTTACACTAATATAATATTTTATTAGCGTAAACCGCATAATGTATTTTAACATCTACAATGCATGCATATATCATATGTTTTTGAACATCTACCAACCTTTTGCCTTTTGCTCAGTCAAAACATTGTTGTAAACCTCATGCTACCTCAAATCTTTCTTCTGTTGTTGACGTCATTTTTCCAAATCTCAAGCCTTATTTTTTCTCCGTTTCTTTTTAGACGAGAAATAACATCACCACAGACAATGGTGGAAATCGATCTCCCCAAATGTCGGAAGTAGCCCTCCTCGCAATGAAGGGGACACTCCCAAATTGAGATTTGGAGCTCGTCTCCGCAAGAGTAAACCTAATGTTGACCAGCTACTTGTGCAGAAGAAGCTTCAATTTCATAACAAATTGAAATTTAGTGGGTCCAGAAAATCCCACAATAAAGGTGGTGAAGAAGCGGTCGATGCAAACCCTTCCGACGACGTCGATGAAATCCCCCAAGAGGAGTGAAAAAGTCCACCATTTTTGCAAAAGAAAACCCCGACCAAGATTCTGATTTTGTTGAAGATGAAGAAATTGAGGACTAGATGGAATTTGAAGAGGATGTTGTTGAAAGCGAAGACCCAACTACAAAAAATAAAATAAAAGAAATGAAAACTAAAAATAAATAAAAAAACAACTAAAACGGCAAATTATAAAAAAGAAGTCAAAGATTAACGACGAGCTCAAAATCTTGTACAAGATGGGCATTAGAATCTTAGAATCCATAAGGTATATTTTTCTATTTTTTAATTTTATTTTGTGCAGCTTCTATGTAAAAATGAAATGATGTTATGAAAGATATACTGTATTCGAATTTATTACTTTTATGTTTATTGGTGCATCTTCAATGTAAATTGATATATGTCTCAAATTTTACTTTTTTTGGTGAAATGAAAAGACATATAAAACCACATATGTACATCAAGATACCAGCCTAGAAGTAGCCAACAACCATCAAGTTGAATTTAGTGAAAGGACAACATAAGTGTAACTTAGATCCAACTACACTAACTCATACACAATATAACAAATTATACAATTCCAACTGGAGGAGAATAAAAGCTTCCAAAAAGAAGAATAAACACAAGACTAAAGAACTAGAAAACTAGAAAAATGAAACTCCCCCAAGTGGGAGAATAAAACACCTAACACTAATACAAAGACAAACAACATACATTAGAAACACTAGAAGTTAAACATTTTTTATAATTTTTGTACAAGTTCATATCATATATTTGTCAATCTTTACATTATGTGTATGTATTCGTTTGGGATTTCGAGTATATTTTGAAACTTATTGAGATTTGAGACTTTTTAAGATTTTTAGATTTTGAAGGCATCCTATAAAATCTTAAGTCTAGATGAAGGATTTTTTGAGTGAATTTCGTATAAGGCTTTTTCTTTAGAAATCCCAACAAATTTTAAAAAGCCTTAATCTAGTCTCAAATAAGTTAAATATCTATTTTTTTTTAATCCTACAACAGCAAGACTTTTAAAAGTCTAAATTAAATACACTGAAATTTCTAAAGTTTTAATAAGTCTTTAGAAATCTCAAATTAATACATCCCCTAGTGGGTACTCACATGTTTGCTATGGTTTATGTTTTGTTTATATTTTGTAATTAATTTTTTTCTAGCTGTGATCTATATACAACGTTGATTTGTGATGGAGACGGGATTGCATTGCTTTCTTGGACAAACATGATCGTTTGACCTATTAGTTTAATTATTTTTTATTTATTTTTAGTTTATATAAGTATTTAAGTATTTTGGCCTTCCATTGATAGAAGAGTTTATGGTAAGTAGGGTTCCTTTAGGAAAATCATTTAAGACTCCTATTATGTTGTTTTAGGTTGATTGTGGTGATTGAATACACAAAATCATGAGTTTGTTCTCAAGTCTGTCTTGCGTTTACACTTTTGTTACGTCAGTTTGTATAAGAAGACCAACACGATTCCTACACCATGTCGATCAAACCAAATGCCGAGGCGGATGACAGGAGCAACGCTGAGATCACAACGTTCAACGACAGTGGAGGAAATCTGTCTGGCACTGGCCGCCCCTGGCCATGAGGAGCACGCACACCGCGGGCCGAACGCTTTGCGTGGTGGTCGCAGGGAAGGACTCGCTGGACGCGGTCGTGTTCCTTGCGGGGCGCCTCTCTCCTGATCGCCTCCGTCGTACTTTGGAGAAGAGGATCACAAACACACCATCACCAAGGTAAACCCGTTTGTCACATTCGTGGTGATGGACGACATGAGGTTAGCCGAGTTGTCGTTTCGGTCAAAATCCTAAATTTTTTGGTGGCCTGGAAGCTGTCGAGTTCCTAAATTGGATCACCACAGTCGAGAATATTTTCGATTTTAAAAAGGTGTCGGACAAGTGGCGCTCGTCATGACGCGACTCTGGGGGCGTGCTGCTGCTTGGTGGCAGCAGTTCAAGCAGGTGCTGCAGCGACATGACAAGCCGAAGGTAGTGACTTGGTCTAAGTTTTGCAGCACACGGAGCGTGAATTTTTGCTATACAATTATGTTCATATGCTCTACCAATGTTTACTAGATTCCGTCAAGATGATCGTTCAGTTATGGATTCACCGAGGAATTCTACCAACTTTGCACGCGTGTGGATGTTTATGAGACGACGAACCAGTTGGTGTCGCGGCATATTGGGGGTTGCTGTTTTCCTTCCAAGATAAGGTCAATCTTTTTGTGTCAGAGTCTATTTCGGACGCACACTAACTCACTCTTCTAGTGGAACAACAGTTGGCCCAGAGGTAGACTAGCTCCTTGGTACGATCCACTAGACCCACGGCGACCATGGCTCAGTCGTCTGCCGCCGAACGATGAGTTCGGCCCCGACAGTTGGTCCCATGCCGCCATCGAACTTGCATTGTTTTTCACCTGGCGAGCCGGGTCATCGACAGGCAGCTTGCCCGAAGTCGGGCATGCGCGCACACTACTCACCGAATAGCAAAAAAAGGAAAAAGTAATCGGGCTTTTGCAGGTTTCACAAGTTATAGAAAGAACAATAAAAAAATAAATAGAAAAATAAATAAACAACTTGATATATTAATAAATCGCACGATATCAAGTCTAATCATTCTAACCAAACGCACCCTTATTGTATAAAAGAGTTATGCTGAAATGATATCAGACCACACCCATAAGATCATGTTCAAATATGTGAATAACTAAAGTATTTGCACTGTGTAAATATACACTGCTCTCTGTACATCTAATAAATATAATCTGAGCACCATACAGCTTACTTCATCTTCAAAAGGTATGTACACCACTCTATTACACCATCGATGTGAAATAAGTATAATCCCAGAACTATACATCTTACTCACATTCAAAAGCTTACATAGATTATGGATAATTTAGTCAAGTATTTAATTCAATTAAGAAAACTCTACATTTTCATTATTCGTAATCATCATAAAGGTGTACTGTGTACGACATACTCTTATACGTAAACTCTACTTAATATTTTCATCTATAACGCGTAGCTCTTGCATCTTCACAGATTACTACAACACTTGGGAACTCACCACCATAATAGCACATAAAAGCAATGATCCAAAAAACTAGAAACAACACAAGCAGATGGTTACAATCAAATGAAAAGCTACTCGTTATAATTCCTTGATTATTCAAATGACAGAAGTCTTATATCCAAACTAAAGCGTGAAACCGATAATTCTACCAAACATCATACACAATAACCTGTTCAGCCAAATCCAAACACACATGGTCTTTCAATAACTCAAGAACCGTTTGCGTTTGTACTTGTCGACTGCTTAAAACACCCAAAACGAGGAGTACTTTTCTTTTGCCTACCGCTGTTTTTCCTCCCGTTACCAATAAAGTGCCGCAAAATTATAGTTCTGCTCCTAAGGAACTTATTTTTCCCCTTACTATTCTTCTCGTTTTCCATTCTCAACAGCACATACTGAACTTTCTGAAGCCCCAACTGCAGACGTTCGATCCTCTCAGACCCCTTTTGAGCCTGCTCGACCACTTTCATTCTCCACATTGTCAGAGCCTCCGTTATTTCACCTTTCGGACAAAATTCAATGTTTTTCACAAGTTGATCGTTCAAATCCACCAAGTGGACAACACTGTCCTCTGCTTCCTGCAACTGCTCATGAACCATCTGAAAATCGGCATTTCTAACTTTTCGCCATTTTTTGTTCGTCTCCAGTTTCCTTCTCAAGCTTTCGAGTGTTCTCCTCAAAATTTTGAGTTTTTGGGAATCTGAGGCGAGATGTTCGAGGATTTTTACGTCATTAGGCTCAATTTTTCTTGCCACAGTCAACTCTTTCTCCACATCAGAGTCGGTCAAGGGAAGCAATTGATCATGCACTGTATTATTAATATTATAATAATCATCCCGAATCTTCAATTTATTACCAACTTCGGCAGTTTCCCACAGTTCGAGCATTGGATCATCAGATCCGGCTTTACTGTTGTTTTTCTTCCGTGTTCCATGCCTTGAACTGTTATTAGAGACTTGATCGAGAGGAATATCTTTCATGAATGCTGCATTTCGGGTCTCGGAGCTCTTGGATTTTGATCTATGCGGTTTTGGAGAGTCGTTGGAATATGATATTCTCTGCACAGATGGTTTATATGTTTCTTCAATCATCTTTCCAACTGCTTTCACTCTCATCTGTAAGTTTTGCAAGCTGAGAAGGGATTGATCTTCCGGAAGAATTTGAGAAGCATCTTGACTGGGATGAGGTGAAACCTCAAAATGCTGTAAGGATGGAAAAGTTTCAGCGGAATCATATTTGATATGCTTCTACCCTGAAAATAACTTTTACTATATAGCATATAACTGACAGAAAAGAGGCGATGATAGTTTTAGTTGTAGTTCGAGAAATCCGAACAATATCTAGAATTATTATAATTATTATTATTTATGTGGATAATTGATGATATTTCAACAGCCAAAGACTTGGTTCCTCAACAAAAAATACCATTTCAATACTGAATGAGCAAAATAGTTGACATGCTAACTCAAAAAACATATAGAGAAGACGAAACGGAATAATCTTAGCTTCAGATAATAAGAATTTAGAGCATTACCTCTGTCTCTTGACTATATGCCTCTTTAAGCTCCACGTGAAGTAAGGCGTTATGCTCAAGAATTGCTATATCTTCTCTAAGTGAAGCTATAACAGGAGCATACGATTGCAAGTGGGACTTCAGTCCACAAACTTCATTTTCCATGGAACAAATCTTTTCCTTCATTCTTTCGTTTTCCAAAATTTTCGCCTCATGCTCATGCTCGAGGGTCTCGCACACGCCACTAAGTTTTTCCACCTTATCTTTCAACAAAACCTCATTAATCGAGGAGACTTGAAGATCAAAGCAAAAAGTCGATGCCTCGGCCTCCCACAGTTCAAATTCATTGCCTACTTCCTGGAGCTCGTTACTTATAGTCTGTTCTCGAACTGCATTTTCTTCCACTTCTTGACGAAGGAAAACGAGTTCAGATTCTAAATTTTCATTGGCCTTATGAAGACTCTCGATTTCCTTCTTCTGAGTTGAACTATTTTCGGAGAGCATGAGCACGTTCTTTTCTAGATTTTTCCTTATCTCAAAGGACTCGTGAATGTCAGCCTTGAGCTCATCCACTGTTCGGCACAAGTGTGAGTTCGATTTTTCAGCTGCTTCAAGCTCCAACTCTGTATCCAATAGCTTTGCTTCAGTATGTCTTAAACTCTCTTTGCCGTTTATTATTTCTTCATTCATATTTACATTACATTCCTTGATTTCTCGAGTCTCTCTCTCCAATTCACAGATTACGTCTTTAAGGACTAAATTTTCAGCCTCTTGCAACTCTAGTTTCTCTCTCAAGGCATTCATTTCCTCTTCAAGACTCGTGCTGGCATCATGTTGCCTTTTCAGATCTTCAAGAATTGATTTCATTTCGACAATTTTCTCTCTCCTGAAACTCCTTAAAAATCTGGTTTCATTATCAGCGGCTATGAGCTCCAGAAGAATCGCTTCATTTTGCTGATCGACCCGAAACTTCTCCTCTTTCAGTTCACAAATTTTCTTCAGCAAATGCGTATTTTCCTCATTCACTCGAGAATATGAATCTTGTAACAAATTGTAAGATTTCTGCAAATCAGCTTGTTTAAGACAAAGACTCTCCAACTCAGCCTGAAAGATGGAAGCTTCTTCAAGACCTCCAGCCACATCGGCTTTTAACAGCTTGTTCATCTCTAGAAGCTCTTCTTTTTCTTTTTCGGCAGATTCAATTTTCTGGGCCGTTAATTTCGACTCACAATCTAGAAGTACCTTCTGCGACTCGATTTCACTACCCTTCGTCTCCAACTGCTCGAGTAGAGCTAGTAGAACCGAATTCTCGACTAGAAGCTGCTGCTTTTCCTCCTCATTTATGGAAACACATCTTTTTAAATCTTCAATGCTGCCCAAAATATGATGCATAAAAGTTTGTTCATTTTGGACCACACTGTCCTCAACAACACAGTCAGGACTGCTTTCCAAGCTTTTGAAAATTCGATATATGCCCAATCTCAATCTCTGGATCTCTTCCAATAGGAGCTCAGCTTCCATCTGCTGCTCGAGACTTTCTCCCTCGAGCTCGGATATCAATTTCTCTGCCAATTTCGATGCCTCTACGTGCTTTTGACACTCAATAATGAGAGCACAGTTTTTGTCCTCCATATCTTGTAAAAATTTGTGCAAGATGGAAATCTCAAATTGTGCTTGTAATGATTTTTCTAATTCTTCCTCGGATTCTTTCTTTTTCCATCTATTCTCCTCCTGCAAGAGATGGACAATGTTTTCGAGCCCAGCCAATCTCATCTCACTTTTGAGCTGAGAGCATTTTCTTTCTTGCTTTTCCTCAGATAAAGAAACCTCAAGTTTCTCAACTTGACAGTGCATGGCTTCCTTTTCCCTCTCGATATTGGCGTAGTTTATTTCCAGACCCGTAAACTGATTCTCGAGGCACTTCAACTTTTGCTCAACATTTTCCAACTTCAAGACTAAGGCATCCCTTTCAGAAAGAAGGATAGACCTTTCGTTCTTAAGAAGTTGGCATATTTGTTCAATTGCCTTCGACTTTTCCCTCAAACCTTGAAGCTCTATTTTTGCCAAGGACAGTGAATCCTCCAAAACAGCATTTCTACCCAATAAATTCTGCATGTTCTCAGTCATAGCATGCAGCTGAGACATAATAGAACCCTTCTCGGCAAAAAGATTGGAATTTTCTCCCCGTAGAAGGTCACTCGATTCTTGCAATTCCTTCACCTTCCCACGCGCGACTGCCAGCTCAGCATTCAAATCCGATAGGGCGCTTTCGAAAATCACGTTTTTCTTTAAATTCTCTTCGATTTCCTCCAACTTCTTAGAAATAAGTGCTTTCTCGATATTTTCCTGCTCACATTTTTGTCTAAGTGTCGTGTTTTCATCACGCAAGCTCTTAATTGAATCCTCAACACATTTCGGGTTCAAACCATTTGCTTCGACTTGCTCGACTACTTCTCGGTAGCTTTGGTTCAACCCCACAATTTCCTGTTTCAAGCACAAAATCTCCTCCTGAAGAGAAAGAGTTACCTCCACGTAGCGTGACACTTCATTTTCAAATCTCCCCCTAATCTCTTTTAATCCACGTATTTCACTCTGCATGTTCTCCACTGAAATAGATGAAGAATCAATAGTTTGGCTCAAACTGCAACTTTCATCTCTAATCTTCTCAATTTCCACTTCCAATCCATTTTTGCAAGCTTTTACATCTTTTAGCATTTGAACCACGTTATTAAGCTCCGAGACTAGAGCCTTCTGATCGTCTTGAGATCGTGAGTGCAAATTCTGAAGACTCTCCAGAGTGGCCTCGACTTGCACATGCCGAAAGTGCTCGTTTTTCAGACACAACTCGAGTTTGTACAACTCTTCCTGCTTTCTCACGAGTTCTTGATCTTTAATCGCAATTTTCTTCACCAAAAGATCAGCCTCGACCCGTAAAGATTTATTAGATGTCTCCACGAATGCACACTTGTTTTCGGCGGTTTTTAACCTCTCTTTTCCTGACAGGACTTCATTATTAAGCCGTTCGATGCTGGTTTTTGCAGTGGATAAATCTTTCTTGAGATTGGATATTTTCTCCAAGCACTGCTTGTACTCGAGAGCCATATCCTCTTTCTCCTGGTTCAAATTGGCAAAAGCCCTTTTCAGTTCAAATACTTCATTTTCAGTTTTTTCCGCTTGCTGCTTAAGCAATGCGGCTTCGTTTTCATTACTCGATATTGTTTTTTCTACATCCGATATTTTCTTAAGACGCTGCTTGTACTGACGAACCGCCGTTTCCCTTTCCACCTCCAATCTCGAAATTTCATCTTTCAATTTTCGAGCTTCACCTTCTGCTTCGCACGCTCGGCTGTCAAGTCCCTTCATTTCGTCTTGATATCGAGAAGCCATAGCCTCGAGACGAGAGATTTGCTCCAAATAATCATTTTGTTTGATCAACTGAGCGATTTTCTCGACTTCGAACTGTACAAGTGCTTCCTTCAGAGTTTGGACCTCGATTTCAGCTCGACTGGCTTTCTCGCCGAGCCCATTCGAGTCATTTTGCGCGTTATTCAACTCATTCTCAACCTCAGATAACTTCTCAAGACACTTTTTATACTTGCTGTTAACATCTTCCGTTTCAGTTTTCATATCTGCAAGTGCTTTCTTTAGGCATTCAACCTCATTTTCAGCTTTTTTCGCTTTCTCCATCTCGTTAAGAACCTTATCTTCAAGATTCTGATTGAATAATGCATGTGCAGGAAGTGTTATTTGAGGAGGGCCTGGAGCAAAAGAAGATGAATTGTCTTCAACAAGTTCAAAAGTCACTGCTTCATTGGGAAATGCTTTTGCCATGGTTTGCTGGGCATGCCTGAGCTCGCCAGTCGCATGATTATACCTTTCGGCTAGTGCACGATAGGCTCGGTAGAACTCTTCCACCAGTTTCATTAATTCAGGACGTTTCTTGTAGTACATCTCTGCCCGTCTAGCAAACGAGTCCGCATCTTCTTCAATTAGCTTTATCATAGATTTGACTTTACCATCGATATCTGTTTAGGTGTTTTTTTTATTAAAAAAAAAAAATATATATATATTAGTGACAAAACCCAGCCAAGTAAGTTAACAAGTGAGTATGATTATAAACAATTAAAGCAAAAATGTCAACATATAAGCCAAATTTCTTTTCAAAATGGAAAAACTCTTCTAAAGTTACTTTTGAGTTATATGCCACTCCAATGTAGAAACTCCAGCAAAGTTTGAAAATTACAAAAACCACTCCTTCAGGTTTATATCCATCTTATACGGTCACGAGTACATCAGATATTACACAACTTCATCTCTGAACTTCTCTAAATATCACAAATCACCCCAACCTACGACCTACATTTTACAATCACACCCCTTAACTTTTTAAAAAATGCTACAAATAATCAGAAGGAAAGTTGGCAAATCCATAATTGCCCTCAAATAATGCGCGGCTATCATGGGAAGTTTAGTTTTAATTCAAGCAAAACCAAAGCCAGTACACACCGATTCATACGTGCGAATTATAACGAAAGAACGCGAAAACTATATAAGAAGTGGCACATTCAAATAAACAACGCAAAAACCCGATTTAAGAAAAAAAAAACGAACCTGTAAGATTATCTTGAAGCCATTTTGAGTTCTTCGGTGTGTTGTGGCTGTCCCACCACCAAGAATACATGCGACTCGACTCTGAATGTGATATGTTGGCCATAACTCCAGCTATGAACAGAAAACCAATTCCCTTTGTGAAACCCAACTTTTTTACACCACTAATGCTTGCACTATCTAATATCTCGATTGGAAAAAGGAAACAACAAGCAACAGAAACAAGTAAAGATCTTAATAAGCTCTAATAACGATTATTCGTAACAAAGGTGTAACAAATTGTGACATAATCACACAAACATGCTCCCATATGATGCCTACAGCTAAGTATGCTTAAAAAAGGACTCTCATGAAAGAAGTAAATGAGAGATCAAGAAAGAAAGTGGGCTTTGATCAACAGCTGATGGCATGATCTCAACTTGTGTCTGTACATATTTTGTCTCATGAGGAGCAGCTAATCATGAGACATGAGATCATATCAAACAGAGAATAATTTTTCAACAATTTCTTAATTTTTTACAAATCAGATTACAAGAAAGTCAATGTAAAGCAAAAGGACACAAACAATTAAATCAATTTTGGAAGAAAAAATTCCACTGACAAAAAA